TGATATTTACGACAACTTTTGATCAACACCCACTAAAGCCCTGAGCAACCAACTCCGAGACTACTCGCCGTCTACTGGCCCGGCCTTTGAACGTTCCCACAACCTCGGCTCGCGAGCCAACCACTTATCTATGGCCGGAGTTCTTGAGCCTGAGGCTGGAATTTTCTACGGCGTGTGCTGGATCGTCGTCATCATCCGACTAATATCAAGAAGAATTCATCGTGGATCATGGAAATTATTGCAATTAGATGATTACTTAATACTTGTAGCCATGGTTTGTGACCCGCAGCATCGAGCGACTACAAGTACTGATTGTGACACAAGGCTACCGACACAGTGCTGATTGCTATCATGCACGAAGTCACAAAGACTAGCAGTACGTCTTTCCATGTGCAAACTGCAAGAGAGACACACGCTGACTCTATACCGGTACTTAGGCAACCTAATACCGCCGGGAGACGACGTCTCTCAATATTCAGATGCCGAAATCAAGATGCGTATATACGGATCCAAGCTGGTCTTGGTAGTAGAGCAGATGCAACTCCTTACCATATGGCTGGTCAAGGCATGCCTACTCATTATGTACAACCGTATGACGATGGTCCTCCCGCAACACAAGATCGTCATCGCCACCTCCATATATGTCGCTGTCGCATTTGTGGTCATGGAAATATTGTACCTTGGCGTTTGGTGTCGGCCGTTCTCGCAATACTGGGCAGTACCGCCGAATTCGAGTAAGTGCCTTTGCAACATCTAATCACACGATACTGACAATACCAGAACAATGCTCGGCAGCGACCAATCATCTCATCACAAACGCCGTCTTCAACATCTCCAGTGATCTAATCATCATCAGCATACCCATGCCGTTGCTCTTCAAAGTACGCCTACCGAAGAAGAACAAAACGATCCTTTTCGTGATCTTCTGTATAGGAGCGTTCACCATCGTCGCAGCAGTCCTCAACAAATACTACTCGTTCACAAATCCCTTTGGAACTGAGTGGACGATCTGGTACCTTCGAGAGTCGTATACAGCGATACTCTGCGCCAATCTGCCCTTGACCTATCCGCTTATACAACGGGTTCTCGGTCTAAGAAACTGGAGCTCCAACACATACACTGCGGAGAACACATACGGGGCCAACACCGTCACACGCGCGACACAGTCTGCACACACGCGCGCCTATTGGCCGGAACCTAGAGCGGAACCGATACCTAGAGGCTTCCGAGATATCTTCAGGCGGACGGAGAGTCAAGAAGACATGAATGGCGGTCTTGGAAAGCAAAGGGAGGATCAGGATCCACAATTTATCACCAGCGCGATCGAAATGGAGGACGCGAGATCACTACGAGTGTCGAGCGTGAGTAATCCTGCCAGTTGGCGAACGTCCGCAACGACGGAGGGCCATAAGGACCAGGAGATTTTCCATGCCGTATGAATGAATACACGAGTTCTTATCAACACAATAGGCTACACCTCCGCTCACACATGCGCGTAATTGCTACTCATCAGAAAAGCTGTGATTGAACATGTGCTCGAATTGATTTGCGCCTCTGGCATCGGTCCGTCTTTGTACGTGGAGTCGTGTTCTCGTCATCGTGTGCCTTTAGCACCATGATGGATGCACCCGATTTGGAACGCTAGCCATCAGGTACTCACCTGGGCACAAGACACTCGAAGTATCTCGACGTTTCATAATACATACGCTCTTCATTAAACTCCCAAGCCTTTACTTCCAGACTGCAACACGATGCACATCCACGACGTACTCATCATCGGTGGAGGCCCGGCTGGCCTAGCAGTAGCAGCACGGCTCCGTGAACAGACACCCTCAGCAACCTTCACAGATGATGAACATCAACGTTACCACTGGATTCGTAAACATGGTCGGAAGATGAACATCAAAAACTACCGGACAGGCAAGGACTCACTGCCAACGCCACCGTCAACTCCCGGTAACTCGGACTGTGGCTGCGATCATGAGGCAGCACCCGAAGAAGCAATAGATATGCTAGTACTCGATGCCGATGGAGCAGACTGGATGTCAAAGTGGAAGCGCCTTTTCAAGACTTTTCACATTGATTACCTTCGGAGTCCGATGTTCTTCCATGTCGATCCTGCTGATCGAGATGCACTGCTCGGGTATACGTACGAGAAAGAGAGAGACAAAGACATCCAAGCACTACCTGGAGTTGCCGGAAAAGAAGTGAGCAAGCACAAAAAGAAGAAGAACCTGAAGTCGCAAGGAAGGTTTTTGGGCCGCACGCCAGACGTCGATGAAAGGGACCGAAAGGACTACTTCGTACCACGTACCGATTTGTTCGACGCTCATTGTGAAGAGGTCATCAAGAGATATCGGCTTGGCAAGGATTTATTGAGGAAAGAGAGCGTCGTGAACATCGAATACGACTATATCTCGAAGTTTGATAAAGCGGACCTTGACAGTGTCGTCTCGGATGATGTGATGGCGGACGAGAGAAAAGTCTTCCGTGTCTCAACAGACCAAGGCGTACGTTTCGCCCACCTCGTCGTTTTGGCTGTCGGTCCTGGAAATGCGCCCTCGATACCTCCTGTGCCTGGTCTGCCAGCTCAACGTCCACACGAAGGTTTCGCGCATGCGATGCAGATTAAGCAGTTCCCACCACCACACGTAATGGCCAAAGTCAAGGCTCGCCAGTCGACTAGCATGCTCATAGTCGGTGGCGGCTTGACGAGCATTCAGCTGGCAGATCTAGCAATCAAACGAGGCGTGAACAAAGTATGGATGCTCATGCGCGGTCCGCTTAAGGTCAAGCACTTTGACGTAGACCTAGAGTGGGTCGGCAAGTTTCGGAATTTCAAGCAAGCCGAGTTCTGGACGGCAGATACTGATGAAGGTATATCAACGCTTCTACTTGATGATCGTATCTAACAATCGGTGATAGAGCGCTTCGAGATGATAGTGCAAGCCCGTAACGGAGGAAGTATGACGCCGCGGTACCGGAAAATTCTCGATACGCATGTCGCACACGGGAAGATCGAGCTTCAAACCTATACTCAACTCCAGTCCGTATCGTGGGACCAAAGCTCGAGAACATGGGCCTGCGAAGCCGCGTCAACAGATTCGAAGCCCAAACTGCCGTCTATCGACTACATGGTCTTTGCCACTGGCATTCAATCAGACATCCGCACCATCCCCTACCTTCAGAACATCCAACAAGAGTACCCTATCAAGTACGTTGGCGGTCTACCATGCTTGAACGAAGACTTGATGTGGGACGATGACGTTCCTCTGTTCGTGACAGGACGACTGGCGGGATTGAGACTTGGCCCTGGCGCACCGAATCTGGTCGGCGCAAGAGTAGGCGCTGAGCGAATCGCTTGGAATGTGGATGATGCTTTGAGGAAAATGGGGAAGCTGAGTAGCAGAGCGCAGGACGAAAGCGACGATAACAGCGGCGACGAGAAGATGGCGGCTTATGCTGCTGCGAGGGATAACCGATTCGATAGTTTGTTCGAGTTGGATGATGCGGCAGCGTAGTCACAGTAGGCGAATCTGCCTCTGAATCAATGAAATATAAGTGTTTAAATGGATTGGTGCTTCTGGAGTCCAGTAATTTTCCGGTGTCGCGTGCCTTACAGGTCGCGTCCACGGGCTTCCGCCCAGGAGCCCTGAGAAGACCCGCTGACGTCATGCGCCACACGATACACTTTGGACTACCTCAGGAGCCTGAATATGCGTGGGAAGTGCGCAAGAATGCAAATTGAGTTTGGAGTAGCCTCTCCTATGGCCGTGATATCCTTCGGTTCGGCGCGTCGCTTTCGTGTTCCATGGTCGATGCCGCTGAGGACACCCGGAACGGAACCGCTTCGGCTATATCTGCATCTTTTCTGTCGACCATCCCGAGGTCACTTTTCATCACAACATCATCTTTATCCCTATTTCCTAGACGCAAATGGTTTCAGGCGGCGATGTAAGTTCACGCGCAATGTCTAAAGACCAAGTTTAACAATTTAAAGGACAAGAACACACCTGCGGTAGTCTCTCTGGCCGCCGGCGGCATAGCTGGCGGTGTGGAAGGCTTTCTTTCGGTACGTCCAAAGAGGCATTCCGGCCCAGATCCCGTGACTCATATCACTCGCAGTATCCTCTAGAGTTTGCGAAAACGCGTGTGCAATTAAGAGCTGAGAAAGGCGTACCGACACCGCGGAATCCCTTCCTAGTCGTGACCCAAGTCTATCAGAATGAAGGCATTAGAGCGCTATACAAAGGCTGCGGAGCGCTGGTCTTTGGCTCAGTAGGCAAAGACGCCGTCCGCTTTCTCTTCTTCGACCAGATCAAGTCGTCTTTCGCAGACCCAGAGACGGGAACGCTCTCCCCTCTGCGCAATTTGTTGGCCGGCATGACTGCGGGAGTAATCGCGTCGATCACCGCAGTTACACCAACAGAGCGCATCAAGACTGCCCTCATCGACGATGCCAGGAACGAAAAGCGCTTTCGGTCCGGTTTCCACGCTACAACCACCATCTGGAAGGAACACGGTATCCTCGGTTTATACCGCGGGTTCGCAGGCACTACCCTGAAACAAGCATCAGCAACGGCTTTCAGAATGGGAACCTACAACATCCTCAAGGATTATGAGAAGGCCAAGAATATCGAACAAAATACGCTGGTGAACTTCGCAAACGGATCAGTAGCGGGCGTTGTGACAACGCTTGCAACGCAGCCTTTTGACGTTATTAAGACGCGTTCACAGAGTGCGAAAGGGACGAGTACTGCCGAGGCTGTAAAGAGTGTTCTGTTGGATTATGGGATCAAGGGTTTCTGGAAAGGTACGACGATGAGGTTGGGTCGCACAGTGTTCAGTGGAGGTATTCTATTCACAAGCTACGAGGCTGCTGTGAAGATCATCCTGCCGTTATATCCTGGCACCAAGCAGGCTGAGTAATCCTAGACGTAAAGACATCTAAAACATCGCATACCTACTCAACCAGTTCAGCCAAGTCCCGGGCCTGCCGCTCATGCCTTTCCGTCATATTCGTCGATAACGCTAACAGGCTTCACAAACTTGCCCAAAGGCTTGTACTCCAGATGGTCCAACCCAAATGCCTTCGGGCCACCAATCTCAATACCCTTCGGACTAGTCCAGCGCTCACTCGCAGTGATACCGATCACCGAGACCAGTAGTCCGTACCGATACTCTGGCGTTCCGATAGCCTCGCCATTTTGCGCATCAATGACCGCGATAAGATCGGGAACGATAGCCAGAACATCTTCGTTCTTTTCCTCCCCAGTAGTGCTTTCTCCACTATCCGGTATCCGAATCGCAGCAATGTTCTCGTTCTTGAAGGGGATCTTGATCTTGCCCTGGTACTCGCTTCCCGTAGCTTCTATGATCACCTCGCCGTACACATGGCCCATGTACAGCTTGCGCTCTACACCAACAATCTTGCCCTTGAAAAGCGCACGGCCTGTTTCAGAACCTCCAACCGCATCGATAATTGATTGCGCGACGTTGTCAATTCTGTTCTCTTTGCGCGCGCGTGCTACTTCACGTCCTATCCTCCATGATAGCGAGATTGTGTGTTCAACAGCCCAACGTCTTGTTTCAGCGCCTGTAACCGGGGCATCGGCTGTTCCGACGGAGCTACCCATCTGGCTTAGTGCTGCTCTGATGACCTGTTCGACTTTGAGGTCACTCGTTGCAGTTGGCATATATAGCGTGTTGCCATTGCCATCGGCCACTGCAACAGGTGCGAACACGATTTCTCGCTCGCCGAAGACGACCGGGGTTGTCTGCCACTTTGTTGGATATGCTCGGCCCATCCAGTCACCATCTACACATGGCACATTCATGTTAGTTGATGCACCCAACACGAGACCCTGCAAACCGTTCGAGCCGCCGATTTCGAGAGGGATGATATGCGTCGCGTAGCCACCCTTGATGAGATCATAGAGGTGGTTCTGAGCATCCATCATTCTGGATGAAGGTTAGCAGGGACATGGCGCGATGCCAATACATGACTTACTCATCAGCGGATAGCTTCTCGATGCCCACTGTTGGGCTGCCAGCACCACCACCACTTCCCACTCGCGCATCGTCTTTGAGATCGTCTGGACTGACAACGCGAACTTTCCCGCCAGACCGTAGGATTCCACGCACTCTGAGCATGGTAGAGTAGGGAGAGCCTCCACCGCCAGTACCAAGAATGTAGCAGCCGATGGTGATCCAGTCTAGATCGGTCTCAGATATCCACCACTCTCGGTTGATCACTTTGGGCTTATACGCGAGGATGTCAACTTCGAGTGCTGTATCGGCCTCGTCAGAAGCCTCTTCGGTCGAGGGTGCTGCAATGGCATCGCTCAGACCCTTTGGCTCAGTCTCTACTTTACCTCCTTCCTGAGTGACGTTCAGATCTATGAAATCTCCAGCTCGTGAGAAGTCAAAGTCTCCCGCAGCTCTGACCATAAATCGCGTTTTGTGGGCCACGTATTGTAATGGCAGATCCTCCACTTCGACGATAGAGACCGTCTCCGCTGATGCGCCTGCTTCAATAGTCTTTCGTTTGGCCTCCTCGCATATTTCAGCTAGTAATTCTTTCTGTGTTTGCTTCTCGGTAGACTTGACGGTGTCGACTACGGCACTCACTCGCGCCATCGCAGCACCAATAGCGTTAGCTACACCGGACCATTGAGGTTTGATTACTCTGCTTGCTCCCTTCAACTCGTCTGGAGCTATGACCGCACCACCACCGACAAGCAGAACGGGAAGATCATCAGGTGATGTCTTCATCTTGTCAATGATTGTTTCAAGCATCTTTGTCGTCTCAGCTTTGAAGGCTTGGATGTCATCGTCTTGCAGCTTCCCTCGTACTTTTTCCGGCTGACCAATCGAAACCTCGGATGAAGCAGCGACGGTGTAGTCAGTTGCTGTTGGAACGTCACCACCGAAGACGAGCGCCTTTTCTGGTAGCTTATAACCCACGGACTCAGGCCCTACTTGCATCTTCTCCCCAACTCTTCTCACCAAGCTACCGCCTCCTAATCCTATACTCTTCACATCGGGATACGAGAAGTTCATCCTCACACCCGAAAGCTCCGAGTACGCGGCCTGTTGCCTGGGAAAGCCATTTGCGAGCAACAAGCCCACATCTGTGGTAGTTCCACCGACATCCACAACCATCATTGCTTCGCCATTCTCTTGCCTTCCGACAAGAAAAGCAGCACCACGCATACTGTTAGTTGGGCCGGATGAGAAGGTTCGGATCGGTAGTCGGCTTGCGGCTTCGCCACTCAGTATCGTGCCGTCGTTTTGGGTGATGAAAACAGGGCAGTTTAGTCCGAGTTCCTTGATTGGTGTCTGGAATGACGCTATTGTTTTCCTGGCGAACGACAGAATAGAGGCATTGAGTATCGCAGCGTTCTCTCGCTCTAGAAATCCGAGGTTTGCGACCGTCTTGCTAAGAACGATATCGACCCCATCTCCTAGCTCACGCCGAACGATGTCTGCAGTACGCTCTTCCTGCTTCTCAACCGTATCGATGGGACTGAAGACGCCGTTCACGACTATACTCTTGATTCCCTTCTCTTTGATGATTCTGCACTGCTCTACTATCTCGTGCTCTTTGATGTCGGAGATTAGGCTTCCATCGACTTCTAGCCCTCCCTTGATGAGCGCATGGTGCCCAAGGATGATGTTACGCAGAGAAGCTGGCCAGTCGACACATGGCGGTGCATGTTTGCTGAATGAACTAGAAAGACGAAGGACTGCGACTCGCGAGAGACGTGTTCGGTCACGAGTTACGACCGCGTTGACAAAGTGGGTCGTTCCGATTGTTACACTCGCAACGGAGGATGGATCGACCGAGGCGGATTTGAACATGGTGGTGATGGCGTCGGCGATGCCATGGCTTGGGTCGGTAGTAGTGGGTGCCTTATGCCTGAGTTATGGTATGAGCTCGCGTTCTCATTAGGGGGTGATCGACTTCCGGTAGGCATCATCATGGGTGTTCTTTGGATCTTATGAGGGAGTGGGCTAAGCGAGGAAGCGTGGTGTTCAAAGTATGGATATAGGACTCGTACCAAGCAACAATGCCCCGGTCATCTTCACTCGATCTTATAGGATCAATGATGACTCCGTCAGTGTTGGTTCTATGCGCGGTATTAGCCTTATGGCTCTCGTAGTTTTGAAGTATACAGTACGTACCCACCGACGTCAACGCCTATTCGCAGATTCTTTCCTGTCGTCATCGTAGCTGTGTATACTTCCAAGATGAAAGCCTCTTCTGATCAAATTGGAGTTGGCTGGTCACGAGGCGTCCAGAATCCATCTGATAAGATTTCGATTGGTGGGGCGAGCTAGGTCCGGAATTCGGACGTTCGCGCCCCAAGCCGCCTTCCTACTTTTATCGCTCACCCATACCCCACTTTTGGAGGTACTTCCTACTCCAATTATCTACCCCGTCATCAACAGCCTACCCATTGGTAGCAGCAGAGCTTGAGATGGGATTTCTTCGGCGCTGATCACTGCGCTCGGATGATCAGATAAGATAGGCGCAAATACCCCTCTTTCTAACGGCGGATAAGGTGTTCTTCCCGCGTATGCTGCATCGTCGCCCCGGTCGGCGCATTATCATCTTCACTAAACTTGGGTCGGCGTTAGATCAGCTAGATTGGGGCGACTCCGAGCGTGGTTGATAACAAGGGTAGCAACACTAAGATGGCGGAAAGAGCTCACCACTGGCGTTCGTCGCAATTACTTCCCTCCCGCATCCTTGACTAGCGACGCGTCCCTTGATTCGCGTTCATCATGACTTTGAGACAGCGCCTGAGGAATATCGACGAGAAAGTACGTCTTCGTGGAGACGATGCGAAGCATGAGCAAACAGATGCATGGAGCAACCGCGATTTAATCCCTCTCCCGCCGGAGCGTAGGACATGGGGCTGGTTCAATTTCTTCGGGTTTTGGGCGATTTCATCGCTGAACCTCGCGAATTGGCAAACACCAAGTACCTTCTTGAGTAAGCTATCCCATATGATTCTTGTCGCGCTCGATCGCTAATATTATCGAAGCTATGGGGTTATCTGTCTCACAGTCTATTCTTATCATCGTCGTTAGCTGCCTATTGATCGCTTTCTTCTCTACACTTATTGCTTGGGTTGGATTGAAGTGGCATATTGGCTTCACAGTCCAGAATAGGTACAGTTGGGGTATGCGCGGGAGCTTCATACCTTTGTCGCAAAGAATCCTGCTCAACTTCATTTGGAACGCCGTTCAATGTAAGTTGGAGTACTATGAGGATGAGCCTGATGCTATGATGCTAATCTGAATCAGGCTGGAATGGTGGCCGTCTAGTCGCTGTATGCTTGACCGCGATCTGGCCTTCGTATGCCCGTATGCCGAATACTTTTAGCCCCAACTTCCCTGCTACCACCGACCAGTTTGTGGGATTCGTCGTGTTCTGGTTCATATCGACACCTTTCTTGTGGCTGCGACCGGAGAAGTTCAAGATCCCGTTCCTCATAGTCTGCCTCTGGTGCGGCATCGGAATGTTGGCATGGATGATCTGGGCAGTGACAACTGCTAAAGGTGTAGGCCCTCTATGGAATGCTGGCGAAAACATTCCTTCGGGTTCCGCTTTCGGTACCTCATGGCTTATCATGGCTGGCATCAATCAGAGTCTTGGCGGAATTGCTGCTGGCATTACGAATGGCAGCGACTTCTCACGCTACTCGCGTGGAAGAACACCCTACATGGTCGGTACTATCACTAGCTGCGTGATCACCAGCGTCATCGTCTCTCTAGTTGGTCTTGTTACAACTGCGTCGGGACAAAAGTTGTATGGAGAGATCTATTGGAACCCACCTGATCTACTCATGCGCATGATGGACAACGGCAACGGCTCATCGAAGGCACGTGCGGGGGTATTCTTCCTGGCTGCAGGTTTCGCATTCACCGCAATGTTCGAGAACATTTGCGGAAACGCTGTCTCTGGTGGAATCGACCTTGCTGGCCTTTTTCCACGCTACATCAACATACGTCGTGGTGCAATCATTACGTTTGTGGCGGCATGGGTCGTTCAACCCTGGCAGCTCATCAACCGTGCCACTACATTTATCGCCGTACTGTCTTCCTTCTCGGTCTTTCTAGCACCAATCATCGGCATAATGGCATGCGACTACTTCCTTTTGCGAAAGAGAAGGATCCGCTTGAGTCATTTATATCGAACTGAAAACTCGTCGTATTGGTTCACCAAAGGTTTCAATTGGCGGGCGATACCCTCATGGCTATGTGGATGGATCCCGACGATTGGGGGTCTTATAGTGACAGTAAGAGGAGATGTCGATCCACCACGGGCTTTGGTACAGCTCTACAATATGGCTTTCTTCATAGGTGAGTAAATTGTCTCACGACACTGGAAATTGAAGGGCCACTGACACCTTGATAGGATTCTTCATCAGCGCTTTCGTCTTCTACGTCCTCAACAAGATCTTCCCAGTTCTAGATATGGACCAGATCGATCCTATCGATCTATATGGTACCTTCACAGAAGCGGAGGCAAAGCGAGCTGGTGTAGCTCCGCTAGACAACAGCCCTGTTTTGGGAGGGGTATCTGGGCGAAGATCGACCGAAGATGTTGTTATCTACGGAGAGAAATGTGCGTGAGTGGGGTAGCATGTTAATTAACTACTACGTAGAGATCAGTCATGTGCAGGCATGGAGTGTAGGCTCAGCCAATCGTTTCACGTTACAAACCTAGCAATGCAGCGACGCCGCATTGCTGCATATGCATTCGCCCCAAAGCCTAACGCATAACGTCTAAAGTCCAACCAAATGGCGGGGCTGAGCAAAAGGCCGGTTCAAGACAAGAAGTACCTGTTACTCCGGGACCCGTTGCTCATGTTCATCTTTTCGCCCCTTTTGCTCTTACTTAGGCTACAAACTCGATACCCTCCTGCTCGTCATTGTGACACACGCTCGAATACTAGGATTTCAAGATGGCTGATCGCCAACCTGATAGTTCACTAGCCCAAGCCGACTCGCCGCTGATACGCGACACGAAACAATGTGACGCTACATCCACTTTGCATCCCCTGCCAGCGCAGCATGAGCAGGATACTGGCTCGCGAGCTCGCGCAAAGATTCACTGGCTCACTCCGGCTGCTATGTTACTCTCCTATATTGTCGGTATCTGTCTTGCTGTAGGGCACCATTTATATTACACGATGCTAGATGGGGACGTGGTCGGCTCGACAGACCGACAGCAGTGGTCATTACGGTATGTGCTGCAACACGCGTCCATGTTTACGGCACTGACTCTACACAGATTTGGCAATGCCTTTGCGATCAGTATTTCATTAAGCCTCAAGATCGCTGTCGGTATTGCATACACGCAGCTTCTGTGGATGTGTCTGCAGAAGCGACCCATGAGCTTAGGGTCTATCAACGATTGCTTCGACATCTCGGGAAATCTTTCTGCGTTCTTCAACTTTGAGCTTTTCAAAAAGCTTCAACTAGGACTTTTGATCGCACTTGTACTATGGTAATAACAGCGCGCCCGGAGAGAACACTATGACTGACTCTGAAGCAGGTGTTTACCGCTACCGACACTATTCGCTCCTGCAACGTTGTCAGTCGAGACCAGAACATCCCAATCCAGCTCAATGGAACAAGCTCTAAAAGCGGAGGTCAACAACTTGACTGTGGCAGATGCTTTCATTTACAGGCTCGCGGCGGATCTATACTGGATCTCGGGTCCTTCGGCTCGACTGGGGCGAATAGCTGGTGCCGTCATAGGCTCAGGTGAACGCCTACAATTCGAAAGCCCTACCTCTCACCAAAATACATCATACGAAACACAGAACTTCCTACCGTTGCTGAAATGCGATACAGCAAATTCCACTGTGCGGGAGGATGTCTGGCGATTGGTGAACGACACAGAAGTGGACACTGCCTGGGTTCATAACATGACCGCAGGCAGCTTGAAATGGGCGACCTCTGAACACAGTGGGGAGGTTGGTTACCTTGGAACTATTTACCCTAGGCGTCTAGAGGGTGGCAACTCTGGTGGTTTGACGTGGAATGAAACCGAGTCAACCACGAGACATTACGTCTTTGCTATACAAAGACAGCCAACAGAGCTCGAGTACCAGTCCGATACAGAATACCTATCGTGTGTCTTATGGAACGCCTCTGTTTCATATACCGTAAAGAAGCAGAATGGGATCGTCGCCATTGGAGATATTCATCGAGAATACATCAACGAGTTTGAACCGCTGGAAGCCTACGTTGATGATCGAAGCGCATGCAGTATCTGCGAGGGCTCAGGAGCTCCCGCTTATTCCGGATACTCGATAGCACTATCGAAATATTTGCTCGGATACATCGCTTGGAATCAAGACAATACGCGCCATAGATATTTAACAGTTGGCTCACTTGGCACGACATCTCTTTCCACGGGAGCGCAGTTCTACAACATGAACCGCAATATGAACGAGGCTGGTTTGGTCATCGGCACTATCCAGAACCCTTCAAATGTCCGGAACATCTCTTTCCGTGAAGATGTCGAAGCATTTGCGTTGAACCTGTCATTAAGTATAATCAACGATGCTTCGCTCTGGTCAGTCACTAGTCTCACAATCTGTTCTAAGCTGACATTACGAAATAAAGCACGAAGGTACCTGTAAACTTGACGATATACAATGACGCCTTTGTCTACACCTACAACCCTGAGAATCTCCTCATATCCTACGGGGTCGCTGTGTTCTGCAGTACCATCGCTATATGTTTTGGACTTTACGCAATCCTCAGAAATGGCGCATGCTACGACAATCGAGTTTCTACTTTCAGCGCTGCGATGCAGAGTTTTGAGGTAAGTGCGAACTAAAATAGCACCTCTGGTCAGCAGCTGAAAGCAAACCAGGTCAAGGAAGCGCTCGGAGATTCTCAGGCCCGTGTAGCACAGCCGCTGAACAACAAAACCGCGAAGATCAAACTGAGATTTGATGCAAAAGAAGGTTTTGTGCTCGGTAAGCGCCGGCAGGCCAGCGAAAGTTGAACTGTGTGCATCATTGAGCAAGACTGGTACACATGCAAGGTCTCGGTACTTTTGAGAAAACACCTCCATCGTCGTTTCGTATAACGATGTCTCTTATTAGAGTGAACAGTATCGACTGAAGTAAATCTCATACATCTAATTAATATCCGAAGCCTTCACAACCGTACCAAACATATCATCAATCTCCGTCAAAGCAACCTTCTTCACCTGCGCAGCCGGAATATCCTTCATATCGCGCTGACCCACACCGTCTTCCACAACAAGAGCCTCGTATCCCAAAGTAGTCGCTTCGCGAGCGGTACTCGACACACAACCATGTACCATGTATCCAGTAAGAACAAGTTTCTTGAGTCCAGTCTTCTTAACAACCTCTGCTAGATCTGTCTCTGAGAAAGAACCAGCGTGCTTCTTCCACACGACAGGCTCGCCGTTGATAGCTTCGATGCCGTCCATTTCCTTGGTGAGCTTGCCATTAGGCTTGAAGATAGCTGCTTCGTCGTCGCCCGTGTTGTGCAGGACGTGGACGATGTGGCCGTTTTGCTTTCGGTATTTCTCAAGGAGGCTGGAGATGGCGATGTTGACCTCCTTGTAGTCTTGAGCAGGTAGGCTACCGTAGATGTATTCGTCCTGGGCGTCGATGATGACGAGAACGGAGTCCTTGACCGATGCTGTTGAATTGGGGACGCCGATGACCGAGCGAAGAGAGGGGGTTGACATCTTGGAAGGCTGGTTTTGGGTAATTGGGAAGTTGAGGAGTAGATGGTGTATATAGAAATGATCAATCGTCAAGAAGTTGATTGAAGCGTCGAGGGTGATGGATGTGTTGGTTGTCCATTTCTGTAAACCCGTCGACCTTTATATCGTCGACCGATAACCCCTGCGAGATCCTCCTACCTTCGTCCGTCACATACCGAGACCAAAATTCTAATCTGATATCGTAAGCCAGCGTTATGTTTCCTTAATTGTTCGGACCGTGCTTTTTGGTGAGCTAGCAAAGAAATAATGTTACCCCATACGGTTAGCCGGATTTCTGTGGACTGATCACTAACCAGAGCCTCTTACTAAGGCGGACACGTCTTGTGCTAACATCACTTCCTATCCCTCACTCAACACCTGTCACATCGTATAGTGTGCGATTCAGCCCCTCTAGTCCAGCAACGCTCAGTCCCCCCCCCCCACAGCTTTCGCACGCTTTTGGCTCGCTCTGGGTGTTGTTCATCTCGTCGGGCAGGGTATGTCGCGGAATGGTCAGACGCTTTACCTCGTCGGGCTTCTCAAGCTGCTGCGGTGAAGGCCAATGATGAGTAGACTCGTGGTGATGGAGTACGGATAGCCACCAAAGAAATCGGTGCTCTTTCGGTCGCTGCAAAACCCGTAGTTTAGGGTCGTTGCTGGTTTCCCTTATAGCCTACTCCGCAGCGAGATCGTCCACTTTAAGGTGCGCGAATGAATATTTTCCCCTCTTCGTATACAAACAAGGGTATTTGTCTGCGAACGTATCGTAATTCATACTCGTCAGGCTGAACTGTACAAGAGGGAACTGTCCCGCCATCTGCCCCCACGACCTGTTGGAGGTCGTGAGTCCGTCACAACCTGGGAAAATGAAGAGCACACAGATCGGGCGCCCTGCTAGCTCTTGGTAGTGTAGGATAGCCTGCTTGATTGACTCGCGGTAATGAGAGGTTTGGCTTAGCTGACCGAAGACGGTTTCCATGGAGGAGTCGTGTCCCAAAAAATACGGTAGGTATATTGGCGATGCGATTTCCATTTCCCACACGTTATCAGGATGCGCGATTCTGGTGTGGGGCGTAGCCAGACGATTGCAGACACGGTTCCACGTGTTGTATAGCGCATCCACGTGAGCGTGCGCTTCCGTCTCTGCGTCCTGGCATGCGGAATCTTCCTTGGATCGGGGTCCGCTGGATCGCGAACAAGACAGCACGATATCGAAGGTCTCTCTAATGTCGTCGGTATTGTCGTGGACATGTACGTCTGTCCCAAATAGTGCTCTTGCGTCAGGGCAGCACGCATAACTGACGGCAGGGTTGATAGTAATCGGTCTGTCTGAGCGGGTGAGAGAAGGTCGCACCTCGACTCCGTCTTCGTCGATCTGTATGAGTAGACCCTTTGAGCTGCTGAAATCTCTCCATTTAGGCTCCTTTATATTGGCGGTCCTCGTAGCCGACCAACGTCTCGTCAATCTCGTGAAGAGGACGTTCGGTATCAGGCCGTCCGGCTCGTGCTCGAGAACAGCCATGATTGTGCGAAGCTTTGTGACTACGAATGCCTTTCTTTGAACGAGTATATCCATGTCGTCGGATGTCGCTCGTGCCAGTATGTCGACATTGGGCGCTGAACTGGACACGGATTTGGACGCTGAGGGGGACGCGGAGGTGGACGCGGGGGCAGCGATGATGGTACAGTATTCATCCTGAATGGCCTTGCTCCATGGTCCCACTCCAGTCGTCTCAGCCGTACGGCGCCAGAGTAATTTGGCTTTTTGTGGCGAACATCCGATCCATGGCTGGGTGATGGCGTTCGGGTCTTCCTTCTATGAAACGGTACGATGGTAGGTAGGCGTACTCAGCATACGCACTGCATCGGGTGCACTCGACCATATTTCTTTTCCACTCGGACCGATCGCAAAGGCGAATCCAGATGCCGGCTTCCTAGTAGCGTTGCATCGCGCGAGATCTAGCTCTTCAAACTGCACCTACGTCATCGATCCGGTAGTGCCGAGCATCAACTATATCCAACTGAAATCCATCACCATGCTTGGTATCCTTACCTCCCTCAATACCAGAGAACAAGCTTTCAGACACCATGGCACCAGGCGATAACCTACCCGATTTTCTCACGAACACCAAGCTCGACCCCAGCTTCGACAAAGACATTCTCGACACACATCTAATCTACGATTACGATGCGCAAGACAACGATGGCAACCCCGAAAAATGGCGGTACGAACTATGGTGTTTCTCTTCGGAACGTGTCGTATATGCCATCCACGGTGGTCCAATGGCTGGCCGCATCAACTACCAGCGCGCAACATACCAATGTATCCGCCCCGGCGAACTATGGCAGATCAACTGGCTCGAAGAGACAGGCAGCATCGTTTCTGCAGTCTACGACATCAAGGAGAAGAAGATGACGACGTTGATCGCCTTCTCGGAGGGCCACTGGAAGAGGGCGAAAGAGGCGCTGGGCGACAAGAGGAAGAAGGAGGATCTGGAGAGATGGAGGGGGCTGGCTGGTGTAGGAAACCAAACGTCGAGGTTCATGCTGAGCGAGCAGGCCCATGTTGTGGAAGTGTTCAAGGGCAAGGGTGAATTGGTGCCGATCAAAGAGAGCGATCCCCTGTTCTGATTGTGTACAACCGATGGACATCAACCAATGAAGCCGTTACCATGTACCATTCATCTCGCATGGTATGTCCGTTCTTGACTATGACAAAGATGTTGAACGAGACCATGATGTTGGTACCATTGCATGGCATGAGATGAGCTTTTCAAGGGATCGCAACCTGTCGGAACCATAGTGCCGGTAATGAAGTCGAAGCAACGTACCTTGCATTGCAGACTGGCAGTGCGACCATCCACGCGATGCTGTGTATCAAGCCAGTGCCACAACGTAACCGAAGCGGTGAGCCATCCTGCCACAGTTCGGCGACCTGTTCGGCGTTCTGGTATACCGTTACATGTTGTCGCAGACATCCATTACGACGCCATTCGGGTTCTCGTGCGCATGCGATACGCGTTTGTCCTCCAGACTTGGTATCTTTGTGTGTATGTCTCAAGGGCTTATGACATGTGGAAACCGTCGCCCAGGACTACTCTCCATATTCCTCTGGCACTCCTCGCTTGAGCACATAAGATGCGTTACACCGAGAGAGCGGGAGGCGGAGGGCCGATGTGGGAATGTCTCAATATCGTTTGGTTTCAATAAGTCAACAAAACAGTCGGATTCCGTTAGGGTCAGAAGATGCGCTCGGAGCAGCAGTAGCAAGTCTCGCTTGTGCTCCGGTGGATGCCGGGGCATTACCGACCCAGTGGTCCTTTGTTCCTATGGGATACTCGATGCTTGTGATGATCTTGGTCTTTTGGCAGGTTTCTTCAGTACGACGAAGGCTATAACGTGCTGTGGTCAGAATGTAAAGGCATTGCTGACGTTGCTCTTCAGTACGTGTCGTCATCTCTCCGACCTGTTACGTTGCTTTTGCTCGCATTCTATAGGAACGTCGTGTAGTCACTTGCGACCACGTGCGGTGCTGCGGGTGTCGCTGTACTTGAAGAAGTAATGGATTGATTTTCTCCTTCCGTACAGCCGGGCGAAGGCGCTGCACACGTCTGATAACGGTGTGGGGTAATGCCCGTCAGCAGCCAGGTCCCAGCGCAACGCTTCCTCGTATGCCCAGCGGGCTTCACGGCATTCATTCAGCGCGGGGTCATCTGGCCCTGCGTAAGATATAGGCAAGGTTTGTACCGGACGTTTCAGTCGCTTCTCGAAGACACTGAAGATCCAGGGATGGTGGGAGCGGCGCACGCCGTGGCTGTTAGCGGCATGTTGTGAGTGGTGAGTGGCTTGGTTGGACAAAGAACAGACCGCATGTTCGGAGTCCGATGCCTGCTAAGCGCCCGCAGTTCGCTGCTGTAAGGACGGTGAGACTCGTCATGCGCCATTGGACTGGTCTTGCGCTAAGGCCAGATGTGTAGAGAGATTGAGCAAACGAAAGGACTCCATGGCAATCTCCACTCACGCCATGTTAGATGATGGACGAAGGCATGCCGACAGCTCTAGGTCATCGCACGAGAGCATAACTGATCGTCGGAACCGCCGGAGACATGCAACCAACCGTGCTTTGATGCTGCAAATGAGGGAAAAGTTAAAGGGCAGAGTTAATTTTCCGATGCATTGCTCCGGCCCTTGAGTATGGAGTGTCAGTCTGGCACTAGGGGCCGCATTAAGCTAGCCGAGCACGGTCACGGTAACTTCTGGCCCCCAGCCAGCCAGTACGCCATGTACCACAACAGCAGACAGTCGGGCGCGCGACGCTACTCGCCCATGGACTCTTATGGTGCTTCATCAGCTGCTGCCAGCCCAGCAGCTATGTCCAGCCTGCCGTCCCCCATTCCTCGTGTGCCTCCATATTCCTTTTGCTGCCTCGCGACCCCAGGCTGAATCACCACCCCGTTTCATTTCGACTTGCTTTTTACTCCTCGGTCTGGAACAAGTCGCCTTCAAATATTCGCCAGTCTGAACTTTCACACCACACAAACCCCAACCATGGACCGCCCAGCACTCACATCACGGGAGCATCTGGAGCTCTTGCGAAGCTCTGCGTTTGAATCCGAACATGCCTGGCTCTACGACACTTCCTATCTGCAACACGAGGCAGCAGCGATGGCGTTGGAGCAAGAGATTGAGCAATCGCATGCCAGTATATCGCCAGACGACAACTCAGACGAGCAAGTGCGCATCATCAAGACGCAGATCAATATCCACAGGGAGAGGCAGCGGGCGCTAAGGCCGCATCTTGAAAGCGGGAGCGACCAGATCGACGAAGACGGGAACGAGTGCGTCTTTGTACCAGCACCGAACCAATGGGGCGCGAATGGGGACCTGGACGAGGAGAGCGAGAGTCTGTCTGCAGTGAGTAGCAATTTCCGTTCACTGTTGGGTTGTGACTGACATGCCTCAGATCCACAACCTCCTCACATGGCAAACTTCATACTCGCCCGTCTCACATGCCCCGCGTGACGAACTTCCCTCTCCAAATACACCGTACCACTCGCTGCTCGATCCTCACCAGCCCACGACCACGTACAATCTTCACCGTACGCGAGAATGGACGGGATCTTCAGGCTTCAGGAAATTCATCTACAGCGCACGCGACTACTCGGATAAATACGCTCTATACATGCTTGAAGCCACCCACCGCGACGACAGCCAAGTCAACGCTGCAGACTTCTTCCGTGTCGCCGAGTACCCACAACCATGCATAAACATCCTTCTCTCCGGCATCGACAAGAAGCGCGCCATGACCAAAGACGCAGCCTACAAGTCGCGGGGCATACATATGCGCGGGCCATTCTCACAACCGATCAAGGAATACCCAGACAGGCAACAGAAGATACCATGGTCACCGCGACGATTTAAATATGGTGGACGCCGCTTCGTATGGAAGCAGGGAGATCCGAACGACGATGCCATGCCGGAGACTTTGTACGAATATCAGCAAGACTGGGTAAAGCCAGGAAGCAGGACGGGCAAGCGATGCGACGATGCAAAGCTGATCAAACTTGTCTGGGGAGAAAAGAGGAGGAAGGGTAAAGTGGACAGTTACACGATCCATTTCAAGGGCGGCATGGATCAAGTCTTTAGGGAGATCTTGCTGGCCAGTCAGATGGCCAGGCAGGTATGTCTTTTCACCGCGATGGATTGAAGTCGCTATCTTTCGTCGGACAAGATTGAAATTATACTTGTATATAACCACACAGCGCGAGGCGTTCAAAGGGGCCGTGGAACACGGGACGGATACCATGGAACAGCATTTTGCAGTCAGTTCCCAGCGGAGCTTTCTGCTATTACAGTTTACAAGATCTTGGGAGTGGGCAGCAGGCTTCTCTACTACCTTGGACATAATTCAGGCCCAAGGGCAACACTAATCAAACTCAAATATTAGTCCTTCCATAGGGCAGCAACGCAATCTTCCACCAGCTTCTCAGTTGACAACTACTCACCCAGAACGAATTGCGAAACATGAGTCAAATTGCGTGACCGTCTGCATGCAATTCATCTGACTCATCTGAATGCACACGTTGAAGCGAAGAGAGGGAATATCCGCAGGACCGTTACATTGTGTAAGCTGCATATGCATGCTACGCTGTAGATTAGATGATAGCCTTGCTAACATACGCCCCTTACGGTATGTTGGCGCTGGTCGCATTGGCGCACCCTGCGATATTTGCCCTGGGTACTTTTTAGGAATACAAAATTATGCACCATCGGCTGTGGCTGAAGTTGGTCGCAGGTGGTAATGAGCATGTTGTTTTTTGTGGCGTGGCTCTACGCGCGAAATCCAATGCACGACCAACTTGAATACTATCATGATAGGCAGGTTCGGATCTCTCGGAGGGATGCGATTCAGGAAGGCGTGCTCATCGTGCTCAGGTGGAACAACGCTCCTCCCTACCATGTCGCCTGAGCCAGCATGTAAATGCAGGCGCTGTACACCGGTGTAGGTAAATATCACGATGACTTCATCGCCAGTCATTCGTGCATGCTCTCCAAACCCATCATCGATCGCATCTCCCCACGCACTCATATCGCATTATTGGTCACAGCGTACCCACCTGTGATATTCGTTACTGATATCTTTCCTGGATCAAGGGCATCAATTCGACGTTGAAAGCTGCCAGACCCAAAATCTTACCTGCGTCTTCGGCTGACGCCCACCGCTTCGCAACAGAACCGACAACCTGTTAGCTCACCCTGGTGCGCACGCCACTTTGCGGGCATATCAAATCACAACTCAGAGCGTGCGTTACTGCATACAACCCGACCGATCAGCACGCAACCGGGCCCACGTACATCGCTTACAGCTTACAGCGAGGGCCAGCAACACCAACATACCCGCTTCACCGTCTCGGAAGGACCCTCGCGGAGGAAGACCCACCAGTCATGTTTTCAGATCGCAGCATGGAGCTGCGAATGTCAACATACCTCTTCTGCTGCGCGTTGATCGCGCCCCCTCCTCCCTCAGACCTCCTATCAAATTACTTCACCAAGTCGCCCAAGATCACAGAGCACGGCCCTGAGTGGTCACGCTCGCGGCTGCCTTTCCTAGCCAAGACATTCTCTGGCAAAGACGGCTGCGAGGAATACTTCAAGCTGATGACTGATGTGCTGGACATGGCCTTGCCGAATGATGCGTTCCCGCGAGACAGCGGGTTCATTGTGGATGCAGATGCTGGAATGGTGAGCGTTGTTGGCAAAGGAAGGTTTACGAGCAAGAAGACGGGCAAGGGATGGGATGAGCAGTTCATCTATCGGTTCAGTGGATTTGATCATGAGGGGAAGATAGGGCATTGGGAAATTTGGGCGGATCCTTTGAGTGCTTGGGAGGCTGTTGGGGAGTGAGCCTTCTCATGTCATCGTTGGAGCTCGTGGATATTGACAGACCGATTGATCATTCTTGACAGCTAGGTACGTACATTCAGCGACAAGCTTAAAGTACTAGAGATTTGAAGTTCACAGCAAATGTATGGATGTAGGTGGAGCCAGCGAGTGAATGCCGTTAGCGTCTCGCTTGAAAGATGTGGGTCCCTGGCGGCGGCTTCTGCAGCTTCCTCTGAGCCCTCAACTTTTCTTCATCCGCTCTTACACGCCGCCAAACCAACTCTTTAACACCATGGTGCAAGCTGCGCAAAGCTCTACGGAGCAGTGACGCGCATCAATAGTAGTTCGCTGATTGTTCTACACTAACCTACAGCCGCTCCTCGCTGTGCTTCATTTCTCATGGTACGTTAAACATCTCCTTCTATTCACCGCATCCGCATCCTCGCGACGCGCGCGCACAGCTCAAAAGATGATATGTACATCGACCATTAAACACTTTAGGAAGAGCCGGAAAAGGTATGGCTAGCATCGACAAATGCTACGCCGTCGCTGCTTATAACTTGGTCTCTGAAGAGCATCACCACTTTCACGTCATGGAAACTGGGTTTCGAACTGTCGCTGACGATGCAAAGATTAGGTGCCTGGTCTTTACGATGCCCCAAGCGATCGCTACACACGACGTGTGACGTATACGACGCGCGATGTCGATTCGGTTGTGCGGAGACGTCATATCGCATGAGCAGATGTGATGACAATGGCACAATGCGACATCTTGTGAGATGCGCATGGCATATTATGTATTGACCCTACGGAGGCTACGTCTGCAGAGTACTGCTTGCGCTATCGCTGTCGAACAAGGCCGCGGCATCCAACTCGAGTGTGGAGACGAATGGCCTCGCCTTCTCGTACAAGCCCATAGTGTCTGGCAACCCTAGGAAGGGGTCGGCAATGTTGTCGCAGTCGGCAGGCCACGAGACCGATTGGCCGAACGCATAGCTGTCGCTCCAAGACTGGATAAAGTTGGTCATGTCAAAGTCGAGATCGGGATTGATCATAGAGGACGGCCCTTCGGATACAGCGAGATCATCCGTGTTGAGGGCACTCGCGTCTGTACCCAAGTCGACTAGATCATTGAAATCGAACGTATCCCAATCCCAAGACTGATTACTTCCATCTGCTGCTGTCGCCGATGTTGATAGCGTGCTGGGGCTGTTGCGCTCGTTCGCCTTTCTCTTTGCGTACTCCTTCGGTGTCAAACCCGTCTTGTCCTTGAAGATCTTATGGAAGTACCGCGGCGTGAGATTGACCTTCTTGGCTAGGTCTTGCAGTCTCAACGCGCTGGCGTCCTCGTTCTTCAATGCTTCATCAATCAGTACACATGCTTTCTCCACCGCTCGCTCCTGCGGGTCTTCGAGTACGGTATTGGGCTTGCATCTCTTGCACGCCCTGAACCCAGCTGCCTCTGCTTCTAGTGGTGTCGCATAAAATCCGACATTTGCTCTCCTCGCTAGGCGTCCAGGGCACGTTGGTCGACAGTAGATTCGGGTAGATTTGACGGAGTAAATGAAGTGCCCATTCGCGTCTGCGTCTCGTATCGAAAGGGCTCGCCACCGTGCAGCATCAGTCGCATAAGCCATGGTATAGGATTTGTACAAGAGGACTACGTAATTAGTATGATTTCAAGTCTAGTAGCAATGGTGCGCAAAGTATACCTTTTGTGTTGTAAACCTAGAGATGTTTCCAAACAGCAGGAACGTCTGTAGCTCAACAACGCGAATATACAGCAGGCTCGAATTCGTCTTGCGCGAAACTCAGATGGTAAAATAGCAGTCAGTCAGATACATGCAGCGACAGTAATCGCGGCAACGGGCCCTCTTAAGAGCTCTGGAAGTCTTCCCGCACTCCAAGGCTGTCTACGCTGTGATTGGATACTTTGAGAGCCAGTTTGAGAGCACGCGATGACGCACGCTAAACTCATCTCTATTAACCTAAACATCGCGTATAAACACGCGATTCACGCAGCGTTCCTTACATAGCAAAGGCCATAGTAGACGAGATGAGTGCGCACGCGAAGCAGTCGGCGCGTCGCGTCGGGCTCTTTCCACGTCGGACGCGATTTCGGTGGAAGAGGTAGGCACGATGGAGGCACCGACTACCAAACCATGGGTCTCACTCGGGCTCAATCTTCTGCCACCGATGGGACCTCCGCAAGTTCATTCTCGCTCCTACCAGCATGGCGGAAGGCCTCGACAGTGTTGCGGTACCCAGCATCGCGGCTCTCCCACCAACGACAACGCGACAGATCGGTTCCGGACAGGTCCTCGTTGATCCCAGTTCCGTCGTCAAGGAGCTCATAGACAACGCTCTAGATGCGCGAGCGAAGAGCATATTTGTGGACATCACAGCTAACACGGTCGACTCTATCCAAGTCAAAGATGATGGCCATGGTATACCAGCTGAAGACCGCCCTCTCGTATGTCGGCGCTACTGTACTAGCAAAATACGAGACTTTCACGACCTGAGAGAAGTCGGAGGGAAATGGCTGGGCTTTCGCGGTGAGGCACTTTCAAGCATGGCCGACATGAGTGGCTCGCTTTCTGTCACTACTCGAGTAGAAGGAGAGCCAGTTGCTGTCAAGCTGAAATATGATCGGAACGGCGAGCTGGCTTCGTAAGACATGAATGGTAATCTCACGGATAGCTATCACGGACTAATGTATGCAGCACTGAACACGACTCCCATCCAGTTGGCACGACGGTCAAGGTCACCAAGTTCTTTGACTTCGTACCCGTCCGAAAGGAGACGGCGATCAAGATTTCATTGAAAATGCTTGCGAAGATCCGGCGGCTGATGCAAGCCTATGCACTGGCCAGGCCTACTATACGCTTCCGGCTCCGCGTACTGAAAGCGAAGAACAGCAATGGTGACTTTGTCTATGCGCCGAAAGCCGACGCCAACATTGAAGATGCAGTTCTGAAAGTCATCGGTAAGGATTGCGCTCTACAGTGTGATTGGACTGCATTGGAGGCCAATGGCTTCGAGGTTCATGCTTTCCTGCCCAGGCCAGGTGCAAGCGGACCGAAGATAGCCCATCAAGGGGCGTTCGTCTCGATCGATGCGAGGCCTGTGTCGAACAGTCGCGGTACTATCAAGCGGATCATCACAACCTTCAAGGACCGACTCCGCAAATCAACGCCTTCACTGGCTGGCGTCAAGGATCCGTTTCTCTGCATGGACATCATTTGCCCCCCTGACAGTTACGACCCCAACATCGAGCCAGCCAAAGACGACGTCATGTTCGATAACAGCGAAGTGGTTGTTGCGGTCGTGGACAAGCTGCTCAAAGCTTACTATCCTGAGGCTGTCCAGGATATTCCAGATATTCAAGATGCTGAGATGCCGACGTCTGCACAACAGCAGTATGAGCCCCAATTCGAGGAGCTACCGAGTGGCATCGAAAGCTCCATCACGATACATGAGGATGAGCCTGCAAACCGGAATGAACAACCTGCAACTGATCCAGCTCAGGCGCTGCCACGCTGGAGGTCAAGCATGTATGGTATTGACGAGGACGACCTAGAATTTCTGCAAGAAAACCCAGCACCTGTGGTCGAAGAGGAAGATGAGAAGGGTCTACGCGCAGTGGAAGTGTCTAATCCATGGACCATTGCCCGAATGAACACTACGATCAAGCCCAAACAAGCTGCTAGCAACGAACAGCTGCTGAGCCCGGCCAAAAGCCAGAGAGGGAGCGACGCGCATCTCCCCTCTCCCAGTCCTGCTGCTACTCCACGTCGTCCATTGTCAGCGGCGCCCTTAACACCTCAGACGTTGTCAAAGACGAACATGAGGTCCCCGTTGGACGCTGAACTGGAGCGTAGTATCCAGCATATGTCTCACCCCAGTCCAGAAGTTGGTGTTCTCGACGACAGGACACCAGAGCGGGACACGGCCAGTCAAGGTCGTCAAAATCATCTCGGTCCGCCGCTACAGACCGGCATGTCAAGCCATTTCGCACGATCTGACATCAATTCCATCAAGTCAGGACTCACGGACTACAATCACAGCGGGAAAGGATCACAACGGTTGACCTCTCCAGTAATGTCAGCTCCTCGTAACCGCCGCACTCAACCGGCCTATGTAAATACATCATTTGCACCACCAAAGCAAAGGTCAAATGGTATGGGGCTTGGAGAATATGTACTTGGTACACAAGCTCTGGAACCAGCTCGTCGACAGAAGCAGGCCAAGAAAATCGGAGGAGCGCCATTCCCTAGCAACGCCTCATCTTCTCCAAGCAGACCCGTGTTGGACCCGGCTGACCGGCCAGTCGTTAAACAAGTTCATTCAAACGACAACACTGATATCCGTAACTTCTTTGGACGCGGCAGAGACAAAGACATGGCTAATCCGCTGGTTGATGGTCTTTTTCCAGCTGCCTCGGTGGGACCGCAGTCATACTCAAAGCGCGTCAGAGAATCTTCACTGGTCAACGATGACGTTCAGATGAATACTGATTCGCGAAGAGTGGCCAACCAATTTCAAGCATTTGCTGAAGACGAAGATCATTCCTTCGGCCCTCAGACGTCTAGCCGAACCTCAAAGCCTCCAGAGACGCACCGTCCCGACCAAAGCGCCAAAGAGATAGAAGCATACTTCAAAACGCAAGAACAGCAACACTCCAGCTCCCCGTCCCGCCCCCAAAAAGCACCTCAAAGGCAGGAGCCTCGCATCGCACCACCCCACGAAACGTCCAAGAAACCGCATCGACCCAGACGCCGCACAACCGACGCTCTCGAGCGTACCAAGTCCTCCAAACTCCCCTTGGAGCGCACACCCAACGGTTTCCAGATCCAAGACCTAGTCCTCCACCTTCCAGTCACCATCGACACCATCGTACAGCGCTCACGTAAACTCGACATCCAGCGCAACATCCCAAAATGGGGTTACGCGTCGGAAAACGCATATGACGTGTTCAGTGAGCCGGTGTTTGAGAAGAAGATCATGGAGTGGGTGATTAC